TTCATCCTCTCTACTTTTTTGCATATTTTTTAATAATAAGTCAAAAAGCCAACTTATAAGCCAAACATACTAAAACTCGTCTCGTTAGCTCGGCTCGTTAGTTGAGTTCGTTTAACATTTATTTAAATAATAATATAAATATATTATTTATGTATTAAATAATGTAAAAATATGTGTAAAAAATAGGATAAATATGTTATTTATATATTTAAATAATATAAATGTAAATAATAGCTAAATTTGTTTATATGTAAATAATAACTAACTATGGATAATACATTTATATAATAGTGTGGTAGATATTATTATTTTGGTAAGCTATTGACTTTTTTCTAGTATGTTTATAGATATCATATATATAATTAGGAAAATGCGGGCGACACCCAGTAATGGGCAACCCCCAGTGACCCCCAGCCCACGTGGCTGTGGGTGATTGGCAGGAAAGAAAGAAAAAAAAAAAAAAAACTGGCGAATGGCGCTGCGCCACGTCACTGGGGGTCGACCCCCAGTGGGGGTGTGTAGCATTGTTGATATAATTATATAATCAAAGTACCAATTGTAATTTTAGTCTCATACGTAAGTATAAAATTATAATTTCTTTGGCTCGCTATGGCACGTGAATAGTTTGAACTCAGTTCGTCATATTTTTATTGAGTCGAACTTCAACTCGTTAAAATTTTAATAAATAAAGCTCAAATATACTAACGTTCGACTTGACTCGATTCATTTACAGCCCTATTCTACATATAGACTCTAAAACACATCACTCAATCTCTATCGCACACAAATTTTAGGCACATCCCAAGCTTAATATTTTATATAAGTTGGAAACTGCCTACATAAATGTGTGATGATGTTGGTGACAATGAAAACTTGAACCTTTTTCTACTCCCTTTGAATATTCTACCTTGAAGGTTAGTTGTGTTTGATAAAATTAATAATTAAATGCTGAACTAATTGAATTGAAAAATTATTTGATAAAAATTAATGTTGAAATTAAAATAAGATAAAATTTGAAATTTATTAGTATTTTTAAATTTTCTCTTTTAATATGAATATATTCACTACAGCAATTTATACTTTTGGCGATCAAATTTGGCAACTAAAGGAAATTTAGTAGCCAAAAGTTGTAGAATAGGCAACTAAAGATTAAATTAGTCAGCATTGAAAACGATTTTAGCTACTAAATTTTTTTAGTAACTGTATATTAATTATTGGCAACTAAAACAAAATTTAGTCACTAAATATGCCACAAGAGGCAACTAAAAATTGTTTTAGTTGGCATTAGTTCATGTTTTAGGCTACTAAAGTTTGTTTTAGTCACGGCATACATGTTTGTGCCTACTAAAATAAGATTTAGCCGCCAAAAAGTTAGCATAATTTTTATTATTAATCTTTGGCGACCAAAACTTTGGTCGCCAAATAATCATTTTTGGTGACCAAAAAATTTTTAGTCGATGTAAAGTAATTTTTGCCTACCAAAATAATATAGTCGCTAAATAAAAATGTTAAATTTTACTTTTATCTTTGGTGACCAAAAATTTAGTCGGCGAATATTTATTTTCGGTGACTAAAATACCTTTAGTCGCCAAAAATGCTACAATAGGCAACTAAAATTTAGATTAGTCAGCCATGATAGAAATTTTTTGGGGTTTTTTCTATCCCTCTCTCTATCTGTCTCCCTCTCGGGCTCTTTTTTTCTGTCTCCCTTTCTCTATTTCCCCATTTCACTCTACCTCTAGGGTTTGCTTTTTATGGTGTAGGGTTTTGATTTATGTGAAATCATTGAACCAATGATTGAAATGGGTTTCTATAAAATGATTGAAAGAACATGTAATTTATTGGGTTTTTTTTTTTAGCCAGGATCAAAATTTCTCCATTTCACTCTTGTTCCAGATTCAATATTTAGCTCGATAATTGAAGAACAGCCCCAGCCAACATGTTTTGATAATCTTTTATGGGTTTTTTTTTCTTCTTCTTCTAGATAATACACAGTTATTCTTCTTACCAATCCAGATTACTAAGCAATAATTCAATATTTATTTGTAGTATTTGGAAGTTTTGTAATTTTTGGGGGGTTTTTTTTTAGCCAGAATCCATATTACCAATGTTGCCAAGATCGGTCTCGTGGCCTATTCTAAATTCTTTTGTTTCATCCCCAGATGACAGCTTGGAGTGGAAAGGGGCTTGCTTCTACAAGAACAGGGATTGGATGGAGTTCCACAACAAAAGCCGCATTGAATTTGGTGGAGGCACTCTTCATGTCAAGGTCAATACCCTTTTGGGTTTTTTTGTGCTCGTTTAGTTTATTTTGTGCTGATTTAGTTTTGATTTTGTCAAAATTTTGAGGATTAGGTATGTAGGTATGTGACATTTTTACTTATTGAATTGTTGATTACCGGCTTATCTACAAGGTTAATTAAGCTGTTAGAGAGAGATAATTTTTATTATTTGTATTATAACCTAGACATGTCCTTTCACTTGTGGCCGAATTCTACTTTGTAAGCGGGCTAAGTTTGTACAATTATTTTAGTTATTGAATAGGTGGTGAAATTCGAACACATAATCTATTTGTACTCACTACAAAAAATTTGGTTTCTTGCAATGGCACGATGCCGTTGCTAATACTCTTAATGCCGTCTTAAAAAAGTTTTAGCGACAGCAAATGACTTTTAGTGACGGCAAATAGGGGGTCACAACAGAGGGCGTCGCAAAAACCTATTAGTGTCGTCGCCTTTTTTTAGCGACGGTAATTGTTACCTTTTGCGACGACAATTTACTGTCGCATATAATATGTAAAAAAGTCAGACCTTTTGCGACGACACCGTTTTGCTGTCGCTAAAAGTTTTTTTTTAGACAGAAAAAAATGTTGTCAAGAATGGTTTTGTTTTTTTGCAACGGCACGCCCATTGTCGCCAATGGTTCTAATTTTTTTGCGACGGTATGTGCCGTCGCAAAAAAAAAAAAAAAAAAAAAAAAAAAAAAAAAAAAACTGCAATATGATTATTAAAAATATTAAAATTACTTGTTTTTTGCAACAGTGTGGTGCCGTCGCAAAAATAAATAAATAAATAAACTGCAATATAATTATTAAAAATATTAAAATTACCTGTTTTTTGCGACGATATGGTGCCGTCACTAAAAAAAAACTACAATAAAATTATTTAAAATATTAAAAATACCTATATTAAATGAAAAACAATTGAAAAAGTAACCAATAATTGCATAATAATATAAAAATTCCTATATAGAAAAAACAATTTCTCCATAATAAAAATATTCTTGCATTCATAACTACACATCAACAAAATTACCCCACTACATAATATTCCATAATACATATATAATGTTTAAATACATAATGTTGTTCATAATTCAAAATAACATAAACCAAAATTACAAGTTTTGCTCATCATTCTCCATGGGTAACAAAAACAAAAATTAGTCGCATTCTTCACAGACATGCATTCCACAAGAAACAAACTCCTACTCGGGAATATTTGAAAATAAAAAATAAATATAATTAATGACAATATAATTATGTGTTAATATGTTAATTACAAAAAAAAAAAACATAAAAATTTAACTACTATACAATTACAAAGATAATTAAGTAAATAATTTTGCCTAGACCGAAATCCGGCTCTAACTCTCAAACCGGGAACTCGATTCGAGTCTCATCTTCTCCTATAAGTCTCTCATGCCTAGGCGGTTGTGTGTCCCAAGTTTCATGCTACTTCAACGCCGTTTGGTGATTTTGGGGCATTAACACCTCGAATTCTAAGTTTCTTAAAAAACTAGTTTGTCTAGAGTGAAACCTGACCCTAACTCCCAAACTAGGAATCCGATTCGAGTCCCGTCTTCTCCCACAAGTCTCTCGTGCCTAGTCGGTCATGTGTGCCAAGTTTCGTGATACTCCGACACCGTTTGGTGATTTTGGGGCGTTAACACCTCGAATTCTAAGTTTCTTAAAAAACTAGTTTGCCTAGAGTGAAATCCGGCCCTAACTCCCAAACCGGGAACCTGATTCGAGTCCCGTCTTCTCCCACAAGTCTCTCATGCCTAGGAGGTCATGTGTGCCAAGTTTCATGCTACTCCGACGCCGTTTGGTGATTTTGGGGCATTAACACCTCAAATTCTAAGTTTCTTAAGAAACTAGTTTGTTTCTTAAGAATGAAATCCAGCTCTAACTCCCAAACCGGCAATCCGATTAGAGTCCCATCTTCTCCAACAAGTCTGTTGTGCCTAGGCGGTCATGTGTGCCAAGTTTCGTGCTACTCCGACGCCGTTTGGTGATTTTGGGGCATTAACACCTCAAATTCTAAGTTTCTTAAGAAACTAGTTTTTTTTCTCAAGAGTGAAATCCGACTCACTCCCAAATTGGGAACCTGATTTGAGTTCCGTCTTCTCCCACAAATCTCTCATACCTAGGTGGTCATGTGTGCCAAGTTTCGTGCTACTTCGATGTTGTTTGGTGATTTTGGGGCGTTAACACCTCGAATTCTAAGTTTCTTAAGAAATTAGTTTGCCTATAGTGAAACCCGACCCTAACTCCCAAACCAGGAACCCAATTCGAGTCCCGTCTTCTCCCACAAGTCTCTCGTTCCTAGGCAGTCGTGTGTGACAAGTTTCGTGCTACTCCGATGGCATTTGGTGATTTTGGGGCATTAACACCTCAAATTCTAAGCTTCTTAAGAAACTAGTTTGTTTCTTAAAAGTAAAATCCGACTATAACTCCCAAACCAGGAACACAATTCGAGCCCCGTCTTCTCCCACAAGTCTCTTGTGCCTAGGCGGTTGTGTGTGACAAGTTTCGTGCTACTCCGACACCGTTTGGTGATTTTGTGGCATTAACACTTCTAATTCTAAGTTTCTTAAGAAACTAGTTTGTCTAGAGTGAAATCTGGCCCTAACTCCCAAACTGGGAACCCAATTCAAGTCCTGTCTTCTCCCACAAGTCTCGCATGCCTAGGTGGTCGTGTGTGCCAAGTTTCGTGCTACTCCGACGCCATTTGGTGATTTTGGGGCATGAACACCTCAAATTCTAAGTTTCTTAAGAAACTAGTTTGTTTCTTAAGAGTGAAACCCGACTCTAACTCCCAAACCGGGAATTTGTTTCGAGTCCCGTCTTCTCCCACAAGTCTCTCATGCCGAGACAGTTATGTGTGCCAAGTTTCGTGCTACTCCGATGCCATTTGGTGATTTTAGGGCATTAACACCTCAAATTCTTAGTTTCTTAAGAAACTAGTTTGTTTCTTAAGAGTGAAATCCGTCTCTAACTCCCAAACCGGGAATCCGATTTGAGTCCCGTCTTCTTCCACATGTCTCTCGCGCTTAGGCGGTCGTGTGTGCCAAGTTTCGTGCTACAATAAAACCCAGAGCTCCTCAATGTTAGTTTGGAAGAATCAACCCAAAGTACTCAAAATCAGAAAAAAGAAAATAAAAAAATAAAAATAAAAATCTTATAAACCACTCAGAGGCTTCTCCATCAATGACAGTTGCAGCATGATATTGTCTCACAAATAGTATAGTGGTTTGGTTTTGATTTGAATTGGTTTGAAACATTTATCTTGAGTATTACTATATGAATACATTCAAACATTGGAAGACCTAACCAGATTAGCATGAATAGGTGAAGAATACACATCAATTGATCCAATTCTGAAATTCAGTGCTAAGAATGGGAAGGAACTATTATATAACTCACATTCACACTCCATTTTCTTGTTGAAAAACATGGATTATTTTGGAAATTAGTTGTACAGAAGCTTAAGTTTTCTAATCAACAACACAAATACTTATTTCCATGTAAGGGTCATCTGTTTTAATTCCTGTATGGAGTATGCAGTGTTCATTAACACCAAAAAGCTAAAGCTAGAGGCTAGAAATTTTCATCAGCAACCCCAACCAAAATGCTTATTTAAAAATAAAAATATTATAAATTGAAAAATAATAATAGCTAAGATGGAATTGGATTGTAAAACTATAAAATTATTTCAGCATCAATGTTTAGTTGGTGCCACACTCATCATGATTTAATTGTATTGTGAAAAATTAGCTAATGTGATGAATTATAGTTTCAATGGCATTGATGGAAAGATATGTGCTATAATATCTTGAAAAAAAGATCTTCAAAAGCAATATTTTCTGTGGTAAGCTAAAGTAAGCATGGCTGAACACGATAACTTCTTCAAATTCTGATTAAGGAAACAAATATATCAACATTCAAAAAACGAACAGAAAAGAATGTAGAAAGAAAATGCGTTGCTTTCGATCATGATTAAACACTCTAAACATCTCTGTGGCAAGTAGGGGAAGAAGCATTGTGGTTTTTCTTGATTCAATTTAGTAAGTGCCCATTATGTTTTGTTCTTCCATGGACTCATTTATTTCATGTTTTGTACAAATTTCTTATATTCAAACTCCTAACTCAAACCCAGTTGGTTTTTACTATATTCACATCTCAACAACTAGAAACCCCAAATAAATACTGATATTTCAATGGGATGCTAAATGCTTAAAACCCCAGCTGTGACATTAACTCATTATCTACCAATATTATATCCTTTTCCATTGGAAACACATAATCAATACTCCATGTAAACTAACAGAACTTATTTCCATTTAAAGCCTTAAAAATAAACCAACAAAAATCAGATAAAATGAAAATTTGGGACCCCCCAGCTATAATTAGTCCTTATTATTTGAGTTTCTAGAGCATAAAATGCAAAACCCTTTCAAAGAATTGAACTTCTAGAAAAAAAAAAAAAAAACCCATATAAGAAAAAAAAATTGGGATTACAAAGGAAATGATTACCGCTCAACACAAACCCATAAATCAAAACAAATTAATGAGTACAAATAATTAAATATACTGAAAGACTGGACAAAGAAAAATTAAAACACATATTGAGAGAGAGAGAGAGATGAGAAAGAAGAAATACCTGTTGAGAAATTTCATTTTGCAGAGACGGTCTTGGTTTCATTGTTGAAGGTGGGTCTTGAGAAGCAGATACTTTTTTTTGAAGGTTGGTTTCATTGTTGAAGGTGGGTCTTAAAACACATATATAACATGCTGCTTCTTTTTTTTTCAAATACGTTTTTTTTTTTTTGGTTCATAACATTTGTTTGGTGTTTTAGTGGGTGCCACAGTTAGGTCCCCAAAGTGAAATCATCTTCATCTGATGTTCCAGAATTATTGTGAATTATTTGATCAACACACAAAAAAGAAAGGAAAAATAAGTAGAGCATTTTTTTTCCAGAAATATA